GGCCGCGGGCCAGAACTGGCCGCGGGCCGGTACTTTGAGACCCCTGGTTTAGAGAATAGAGATTGAATTGCTTGGGGCAAGGGGTCTGTGATGCCTATGTACTGTAAAGTGGAGAGCATGAAGGGCCAGCTGAGGAGGTCTTTTCAGCATCAAGGTGCAGAATTAGGAACCCTGTTTTCCTTTTATTTATGACATAAATAAAGTAATTTGTTCGTCTTGTGCTATTTCCTGTTTGTTGGAAGGGAATTAATCCTGTTGGCCTTTATGTATTAGTTGGAAAGGGATGGTGATTAATCTGTTTGCCAAGATTCTGGTGAAGATTTTGTTATCAGCAATTAGTAGTGTAATGAGTCTGTGGTTAGAGCAGTTTGTCAGTTCTTTACCAGGTTTTAGGAAGATGTGGGATGGGAATAAACCATGGTAGGAGTAACTGGTTCCTTAGAAAGCATTTCATTATAAAAGGTGTGCATATGAGGGAAGGAGTTGACAACAATGGTTTGTAATAAGTGTATGAGAGGGGGGAGTTTTTTTTATCGCATCTGAGATTTCCTCCAAGGATATTAGTTGGTTAAAGTGACACTAAACTTAGGAGTTAAATCTTAAAAATGCATCAAAAAGTATCATAACTGTTAACAAAAATGTATATTATTTGTGTATCACTGTTGTTCTATGGCTGTAGATCAGTGGTTCTCAACCTTTCTAGGGCCGGGACCCCTTGGTAACATTTGCCAATTTGTGGTGACCCCCAACGGTAAAATTTAGGGATGGCGCGGCTGATGGAAAACTTCAGGCCCCCCTCTGCTGATTGGCAGCAGCAGAGGGCAGGTGCAATACCTAGTTTGCTATTGGCTATTGCAAAGTGAAAGCTATGCATTCCTATGGTGTTTTTTTCTTTTTTTCTGACTGACGGCGGCCTGTAGCCCAGATGTTAGGGGGAAAAAAAAACAGAGTAGAGGAAGGTTTACTCTGCTCGAGCAGAGAAAACCTTTCCGGGAGAAAGTGTTTCTTTCGCGGGCGGCCGGGAGCCACTAGGCGACCCCTGGCAAATCGTCAATTCGACCCCCGACGCGGTCGTGACCCACTGGTTGAGAACCGCTGCTGTAGATGGTCAAATCATCTCTGAATTGATGCTGACACTGTCTTTCTTTCTAGAGGGTGGCTACTGTTGTTCCCCATGGTCCCTGTTCGTGTTGTAAAGTAGCCACCACTCCAAGCTCACTCCTGTGATGGACTACAATCTCAATTGAATTAGTTTAATTAGCCAATTTTTTTATTGAAGTTATAATCTATCACAGGAGTGGGGACCATGGGACACAGGGGGAACAAAAGTAGCCACCCTCCAGAAGGAAGGACTGAATCAGCATTAATTCAGAGATGATTTGAGCATCTACAGCTGAGTGATACACAAAAAACATACATTACAGTTAATAGTTAGGTCTCTTTCACACGTGTGGCAAAACCAGGTGTTGGAGAAGCGTTTTTAACACCTCTCTGCCGCTTATTAACGCCCATGTGTGATAAAACAATAGCAACTGCCCAGTGCAGTTCACACATGGGCGTTAGCATTGCGGCAAAAAATTGATTGCATGCCATGTTCTGGAGGCATTGCCGTTGAAATAATTTGGGGGAGGCGTCCCTCCTAACTTTCCAACCAGACCTAAAGGGTCTGGTATGGATTGGGAGGGGGACCCCACGCTGTTTTTCGTATTTTTCAATTTTTTTTACAATTCTTTTTAAGCATTATTTTATCAATTTATCATTATTTTTTGGGGAAGGGCATTTTCTTAGTGGTTTTTACGCCTACCTAACACCTTGCAAACGCCTGGCTAATGCCTTGTTAACGTTATAGGCGCGTTAATAAGCGTTGATCATGCGGGCAACGCACGTGTGAAAGAGCCCTTAAGCGTGCGACACACTGCATGCGAAACATTGCGGAGCAAAGCAAACCTGCGAGGCGTGGAGCTGAGCGCAGCCAGATAAAACACCAACCAATCAGCTCACGCGCAACAACTCAATGGACTGCGCATCCTGACGTGTGGGTTTATAGACGCAAGCTGATTGGCTGAAGATTACATTTTTCATCTCAGAACGCTCAGGTGTGCTAGCTCTTGCAAGCTGACGCGCCGCATCAAAAATTGTAAGACACACTGTAGGCAAAGGTTTGCACGCCGCCGCTTTCCATTGCTGTGCACCGCTTCGCATGCAGTGTGTCTCGGGCTGGTACTTAAATGCATTTTTAAGGTTTAACTCCTGAGTTTAGTGTCACTTTAAGGATTTCTAATTTTGCTGGTGGAAGCTTCTTATCAGAGTTTGGAGAGTCTTCTTATTTATTTGTTGGTCTTCATGAACATTTTTAAAAAGTGATTACTGGATCCCAACGGAGCCAAACAGGCGTGTGGCTGGTGAAGTTTCCGAAGTACTTGGCACAGCAGTGGGCAAAGGCCACAGGAAGGGGTGAAGTGGGAAAGCTTAGAATTGTCAAAAACCAAGGAAAGACAGATTACCCATGGAAGAGTAACGGGCACAAGAAAAATGAGACGGTGTAGCTGCTAGAAAGGGAGGTGCTTAACTCGTTTAATGCCGGTATACCAGAGTGGGGGAAAGGAGTCTTTTTGGCAAACGTTGATGGTTCATCTGTAAGAGGATGGCCATCAATAGTTAGTGAGTTTGAATATATGTTTTTAAGCACAGTGGGATTTTGAAAGCACAATTTCTTTCACGATTACTGAAGATACACGGAGCTGTATTGTATACACGTTTAAAGAGGACTGTACAGTATATTAAAAGGACTGCACGGTACACTAAAGGAATTGAATCGCCAAAAGTCACATGATTTGTTATGAATTCACTAATACATTGATTGATATAATTGCAATTAATTATTTTTAAGGTTAAAGCATATTAATGATGGTTTTAGGTTAAAATAAGCGCAGTGCAATTTATTTATATGGTATTGTCACAGTAATTAATCACTAATAAGCACAGCAGTTAAGATTTAGAAGTTAGTTTTTCTCAATAGCCCGGTGTGTTTCTGTTTGAATAGGTAGAATATGGTATCCTTCGGAACCTTACGATGCTGAAGAAGACATACAAGTTTTACAGCAGTCTGGGGAATGAGAAATGCTTTGATAATGCTTTCCTAATGACCAAACTACAATTTTGGAGGTTTTTAAAAGACTGCAAGTTCCACCATTACAACCTTACACTTTCTGTAATGGATCGCATACTCTATGGTGAGTAAGGCTTTTTTTTTTTCTGATAATATAATTACAATACATTTGTCCTTCATTGTAGTGATGCACCGATACTGGATTTTCAGTATCGAGTATGAATACCGATATATTGCTTTCTGTACTCGCCAATACCGATACCGGTGATTCTGCTTACATGGAGCTGGCTTCCCGGGCAATCAGGAAGCTGGGCAGTAATGACATGCCTCCCAGCTTCCTGATTGCCTGGGAAACTGGCTCCATGTTGTTTGGCCAGTTCCAGGTTGTTTGCCGGCTCGATTGTGATTAGCCGGGAAACCGACTTCCCAGCCAATCAGCATCGAGCCAGCGTCCCGTCCAATCAGGAAGCCAGGCGATGAGTAATGACCCGCCTCCTGGCTTCCTGATTGACCGAGAAGCTGGCTCCATGTTGTTTGGCCAGCTCGATGCTGATTGGCCGGGAAGCCAGCTTCCCAGCCAGTCAGCATCGAGCCAGCTTCCCGGCCAATCAGGAAGCTGGGCGGTGAGTAATGACCTGCCTTCCGGCTTCCTGATTTGCCGGGAAGTCGGCTCCATGCTGATTGGCTGGAAAGCCGGCTTCCCAGCCAATCAGCAAGGAGCCAGCTGTTCAAGTCATTACTCCGCCCTACTTTCCTGATTGCTTGGGAAGCCAGCTCCATGTTCACCTACAGCACTGCCTGTCAGAGAAAATCTTCCTCTGACCTGAAGTTACGGTATCGGGGAAGGTATCAGAGCATTTGGGCGAGTATGAGAATCTTGCCCAAATACTAGGTATCGGTACCGATACTAGTATCGGTATTGGTGCATCCCTACTTCAGTGTACTACTTAATTAATGTGAAAAAAACAGAAAGGGGAGACATGAATGAAACCATTAATACAATACGGGTGCGAACAAGGTTCGGGAGGGAAGTATTATCAATATGAAGGTTAGCTGAAGAACATGGGGACATGACCTCAAGCTAGCAGGAGGAATGTTAAAAACAAACCTTCGAAAGTAATTTTTCCTGAATGAGTAGTTGATGTTTGGAACCGACTTCCAGCAGAGGTAGTAAGTCATTCAACAGTAAGTCAATCTAAACATAGATCTATAATAAGACAAAAAGGTAAAAAAATATTTAAAAAGGCGTTAGACGTGGTGGATCACTAGGTCTTTTTCTGCCGTTCCTAGGAACTTGTACTACTTGTTCAACAACTTCTACCACAATCCTGTATTTTCTTAATTGCTATGAGCCGATTTACACCGGCAGCTGAGCTACATTACCAGGCACAGTGCTGATGCACTGATCCCGTTACAACGCTTTTATTAAAACTTTATTAAAATGTGACAAATGACATTTCATCAAGTTTTATGGGAACAGCAAGGTGCGATGTGGTTGTACTACATGCAGTACTTTTTCAGGGTGGTGTGAACAGAGGCCATTTGAAACAAGGCAAATTGGGAAAAGCAGCCAGCGCAGTCACAACGCATTTGGTGTGAATTAAGCCTAAAAGCTCAAATCTGATTAGTTATTGTTGCCTATTCCACATCATACATTTTGTATGCAGAATGCTTTGTGATATTGTAGTATACATTTAATTTAAATATGATTTATTCAGCAGAAAACGGTGATCCGGAAGAGGTGCACTCGCCCTATGCTACAATACTGCTCCGTACATTCCTGACCAATATTGTATGTCTGGCCTATCACATCACTCATGAAGAGAATCCGTAAGTAAATTGAGTTTTATATAAACTGTAAATGTGTTTACATTATATAGAAACCCTGAATGAAAACCGATCCTAAAAGGGTTGTGACATACTAAGTGTGTACTAAAGAGTGGGGCTTTACATTTAACATTTAAGGAGTGATGCTTTCCATACAATAAATTTGTCACTGCTGCTTAAATCCTGCTTAGTCTATATTTCGTGCTTGATCCTGGGCATCTTACTACCATAAGGTTTAACCAATTGCCGTCCGCCCGTTGCAAAAAAACGGACAGACGGCGGACTCACATCAGCGGGTTGCCGTCATGAGACGGCATTTTTTTTCCGCTTGCAGGCCCCCTGGTGAGCGTGCACGGGCAGAAAAAAACCCGTCCGATGTCAAGAGCCGTTACCGGCTCTTTCACATACACACGATCGGTGGCTCTATAGCCTGCCGATCCTGTGTATGTGCTGGCTGCGTGACCCCCTCACCTTCAATCCCGGGATCCGCTGCCCCATCTGCGGACCGTCTCGGGAGGGTGTCATGAGGTAAGATGGGCGGGAGGTCAGCATCTTCCTCCTTGCTGACCTTCCTCTGTGCTGTGAATGCAGAAGTGATGTGTAATACATCACTTCCGCATTCACCTGTCAGTAATCTGGCTGCTATAGCCTGATAGAAGAAGCTGATGAAGCAGATCCCTGCTTCATCAGCTTCTTTTGTGGTCCCCAGGTGACATTAGGGGTCTTAGAGACCCCTAATGTCTCCATTAAGAGGACATGTCAAGTGCAGGGCCAACCTGCTTGGACTGCTCACGGATGTCCCTATCTCCTACCTGGTTTACCACCGCCAGTAATACTTATAAAAGTTATGAAAGATTTAACTTTGACATTGGTCATTTTTTAACCTTATTAACTATGTGGTTCTGAGAATCATGTCAGTAGAAATACTTGTGCTAAGTTACAAGTGACTTCTGCGCTGTTCCAGCAATGATCTATACCTTATTTGAAGCAAGCCTGCACTTACTGTATATACCACTACAAAACAATGTTCATCAAAAAATGATATGCTAAAAAAAACTTGACATATCTGTTTATAAAACATAATATTTTTTTCTTGCAGAGAGAAAAGGTTTTCCCTTGTGGACTGCTTTTCCAAAATGATGGAACAAAATATGTCCCCTAACTCATGTAATGTGAAAGGTCAGTGCTTTAAAATGCAAATGCAATGCAAATGCAAATCAAGGATTTTATTAAACTTCATTGCAGATCTTAACCGGGGCGCACCACTGCAAGTGGTGGCCGCAAGGGAAATCTTCGGGGTTTCTTAAAGCACATCTAAACCCCAAACCAAATATGTAAATATGTAATCTATTGTAGCTGATCAGTCCTTCTATGCGGTGGCTGCAATTTTTTTTTTTTTTTCAGGTTTTTTTATCGCTTTGTTTTCCACCTGGTAGTCTTGCAAAAAACACACTTCCTATTCACACTTCCAGCTCATAGGAAGTGACAAGGACACTGAAATTCTAGGAAGATCCTGGCTTGGTATTTTCTGTACTTGCTGAAAGTGCAGATGGCCTGATAAATAAAAATGCAGCAACCACATTGAAGGACTTTTAGGCTACAATGTATAATGTTTTTGTTCCACTCCAAACTCACTCCCCTGATGGACTACAATCTCAATACAAACTAGTTTACTAAACGTGAGATTTGTAGTCCTTCACAGGAGCGAGTTTGGAGGAAGAGAAAGGAAAGACAGTGTCAGCATAAATTCAGAGATGATTGGAGGATAAAAGTTAAGGTACTTGAATACATTTTTAAGATTTAACTCCTGAGTTTAGTATCACTTTAATAACACGTGATGGAAGAGTCTTTCCCACCGCTGCAGTTTACCAAAAGTGGATGCATCTGGAAGAATGCTGGAGTGCAGGGCGGGGGACTTGTTATATTTACACCTGGACTCTTGGCACCTTTTTCCTAGTGCCTAAGTCCAGTATGGCCGAAGAACATGGGAAAGTTTCAAGGGGCTTAAAGTAGCAATAAACTCTCAAACTTTTTTTCAATAATAAATCCAATAATAAAACGTCTTGCCCAGTATTAGATCAGCATAGACTCCAGGAGCTCTTCATCTAAAGGCTTGGAGAGGGGAGGAAATAGGAGCAAGGAGCAGGCTTACTAGCACACACAAAGGTGGCTCCATATGACCCTGCAGGGGAAGGGAGCCATCCTAAGGGTTCGTTTCCACCAGCCTGTGCGCTCATCGCAGTGTCCCCTGCTCAGAACGCAAGGAATCACATACACAAAGTCTCCTTGCATTCTGGGGCAGGAGGGGGCGTGGCAGTGCCTTTCATGTCAATTGCACTGAAGATACGCCCCCTGCCCACCGTGCGACCGGCCACACAGGACCGCGTGATAATAAAATGCCCTGCGGTATGATCAAAAAAATAGTGCATGCACGTAGAAACAGGGCAGAATAGTATGTAGAATCCAGCCTAGTGGTATCTGGACATCTAAGCAGCTGTTCAAGTGGACACATGGACAGAGTGATACCAGATGCGCCAAACTGAGCATATGCCACATTATGCAAATAATGAAATATACAGGTGAAACTCGAATAATTAGAATATCGTGCAAAGTTCATTTATTTCACTAATGCAACTTAAAAGGTGAAACTAATATATGAGATAGACTCATTACATGCAAAGCAAGATAATTCAAGCCGCGATTTGTCATAATTGTGATGATTGTGTTACTTAGTCTTCCGAAGTCTTCATGACCCCTACTGATACCAACCTGATGTGTGCCATGATTTTATGGTCAGCGTGCCAAATAAGGGGGCACGCTCTAGTGAAATGATAGAACCTGGGGAAGGGCGGGCGGGTCAAGCGCGACCTCGCCGTGACGTCTCTAGGAGCTCCCTGTCCCCCTTCTTAAGGGGAGGAGAGCCGCCGCAACTCCTCCCACAAACACGGCCAAGTTACCTTGGCCTATTACTTACGGGTTACAGCTCATGAAAACCCCAATAACCCCAAATCCACAACCTCAAAAAAGTAGATTATTACATGCAATCAATAAAACAAGGATTGTACATAGAACAATATCGGACCTCTGAAAAGTACAAGCATGCATATGTACTCAGTACTTGGTTTGGGCCCCTTTTGCAGCACTTACTGCAATTACTTTTGCACGATATTCTAATTATTCGAGTTTCACCTGTATATTGGGAGGAGAGCTTAAAAGCCTCACAAAATTGTGTACCCCAGGGAATATAGCTGTTCCACCCGCACACCCAGTGTGAACCAGTATCTACCCTCAGGAAAGGAACAGAAATGTGATGGATGGGTGTTCAACCAATATGGGTTGTGAGACAAAAGAGACCGCTGGTTCTTATAGAATTTTTTAGTAACTTCTATAAAAATGGATAAAGAGGTGCTCAGTAGGGTCATGTCAAGGCCAGAGGGAACTGTACGCCTATCTACCAGTTTATGAGGGAATTCATGGGATGAAACTATTGCAGCTTCAGTGCCAGTGCAGGCGTCACCTAGGAATGGGATAAGCCAGGCATGTATATGCACTAATTGTGCTGCCAAATAGTTAAGATAAAAATTTGGAGGCTAGCCTTGCTATATTGTGTAGGCAGTTAAAAAACTGCCAGTGCTATGCTAGGGTGTCTGCGTTGCCACAAGAATGTGTTGCAAATGTAGTCCAGTTTACTGAAAATGTTTAAGGGAATTCTGCAAGGGACATTGGCCAATATTTATAGTAATTTAGGGAGAAAAGTCATTTTTAGGAGACTGACCCTACCTATCAGATCCAGAGGCAAACCAGACCACTGCCTAGCCTTACGTTGAAGATCAGAAATTATGATTGTAGATTGTTAGTGACATTGGGTTGTACAGGTAGTTGTATCTGGATTCCAAAATATCAAAAGGCATTTACAACTTCCTGTTGGGAGGCAGGGTGAATCAATTGGGTATCAAAACTGTCAAGTGGAAATAGACTGAACTTATCGACAATTATGTCTGGATCCGCTAAGCTGCGTGACTGACAGCTGGCTCTGCCTGTCTAGAGGCAGAGCCAGCCGTACCTGCCCCATCCCCCGTCCATTCTGCCAGTCAGCGCTGGTGGATCGGAGCGTGGAGGGGGGAATCCAGCCCCTCCCCTGTCACGGCAGAGAGCCGTGACAGGATCGAGAGGTGAGCGAACGCCGGTATGTGTTCGCTCACCTCCCGATCTACTGAGCCGACCTGTGACAGTTTCATTGTCACAGGTCGGCTAGAACTATGAGGTGAGTGAAAAGCACTCACCTCATAGTTCTCCTTTAAAGCCAAAATAGATACCAAACTCCTCTACAATGCATACAGGTGAGCCAGGTGGTCATGTGTAACCGCTAAATATACCAAAGTATCATCTGCAAATAATGAAACAGGCTACTCAAGTGTACCAATAAGTAACACAGCAATATTGGAAGAAGAACATATTAGGGCTGCTAGGGGTTCAATGGCCAGAACAAAGAGCAAAAGAGAAAGCGGACACCCTTGACGGGTGCCACAACATATTGCAAATGGCGTCAATACAGTTTTTTACTCTGACACTGGCCATTGGTCCCCAGGCACACCTGGTTAAAAACGTGGGACACATTGGATTTGAACTAAATTTGGCCATTCAACACTGTCAAAACATTTGTGTGTCTAGTGACACTACCAGCCTTGAATGAGGATATTGTAGGTGGTTGTGAAAGAGCCTCCTTAAATGAATTCTGGTTGACCGACCTGGTATGAAACCAGTTTGATGTACATTTATTAAATAAGGCATGGTTTTATTAATTGTAAGGTCTAGGACTTTAACCAGCACCTTAACATCTACCTCAATTAACGGAATCGGGCAGCACGATTCACACTTGGAATAAGGATTATAAGGTCTTCACACATGGAGGGGGCATAAAAAGTGTCTAACAGGTGTGGGCTAAGTAGTATCTTAACGTGGTTGTACCATTCCGTACGGAAGCCATCTTGGCCTGGAGTATTATGGGCAGGCAAGTGTGAAATAACAAATTCTATCTCAGCTACGGTAAGGGGAGCTTCTAAATCCCTTCTCATTTAGGCAGTTAAGCTTAGTTAAGGGATATCACCCAAATAAGCAGATATTTGCGACTCAGTTGTATACGAGGTTACTTGCCTGAAGTTAAGCTTTAATTTAATAAGGTATCTAGTATAGTATAGTCAAAAACTAAAAATAAATAATTTCTATATTGAATTTCCATAATTAATATCCCTCTCATAATCACCTGGTCAATCTAGAAGTTTGTAAACTTATTGAAGATGCCCATAAGATGTACTTCCTCAGTGCAGTGACATGATTTCACACATCCCTGGGAATATGCACTTACTTGTGTCACTACTCTAACTAAGCCTGCAGTCTGAACTACAACTCAAGTCCGAGCTTCATACAATGTAACATTATCATTGCTTTTTGGAACCGATGCCTGATAGAATATGTAGTCTTGAGTTATCGAGATTGCATCACATCAAGCTGCAGGGAAAGAGACACAAAGCACACTGGGAATCCACAAAGTTGTTGGAAGTGATGGGCAGATGGAAGGCAGCACTCACTATATAAAAGGGATTTTTCAAGTGAGCTTTGATTGTATTATCAAAAACAACTCAAGTATGTATTCCTATTACAATGCTGATGTTATAACAGGATAGTATATGCTGGGACTTTAGAACTCCTTTTGCCAATCTGAGTGTCTTCTTTTTACATTTACAGGGTTTATATTCCGTGAAGCCCAGAAGACTGAGTATGCAATGTCTTACATTGACAAGTGTTGGGACATCTACAAAAGTTGCTGCCAGAGAAATAAATCCCCACCTTACGAACCGACTATGACCATGAGGCATTTCATCTGGATGATGAATGTAGTTATAATATTGTACCTTTGCCGTGAACAAATTTAAACAGCATCAACTCTTGCTGTAAAAAGAAAATGTAGTAGATAACAGTATTCACAGTGTTTTACGCTCCTTTCATACCTATGCTAGGTGTGCATTGTTTTGTGCTGGCATTCATTCTAAAAAGTACCTCAAGAATATATAGTGCAACCAAATGCCCCTGCTCTCCAGTGCACCATAATGACAAATGTGAATGCACTGCGTGTTACATATTGCAGCATTACCCAAAAGCCCAGATATGGTTTTTTCATGCTTAGAGGCTTGCTAAGGGCTGATTTAACATGAACACATCAAAAAGAGTAAGGGATTAAAAGTGTGAATAGAGCCTTTGGCTCCTTTTAGATGAGCGGCCTGGTCAGGTTCACCTGTCAGTTCTTCAGGCAGATTGGAGCGACAGCCCAATGTTAGTCAATGGGCAGCCGGATATAAATAGATGTGTGTCCATTTACATCCAATTACCCCCAACTACGTCCAGAAAAAATAACGTAACACAGTTCTGTTTTGACTGACCTGATTGTGATGGATTGGGGGTAATCAGATGTATACGGACACATGTCCACTTAGATCCGACTGCCAAACATGGGTCCGCAAAGCGCACTGTGATGGAGGGAAAAACTGAGATCCGAGAAGAAGTGAAGGAACCGGCGGCTGGGGAGGGCGGAGCCACTGTCACAGAACTAATGCTGAGCGGTGAGGAGAGACGCTCGGTCTGGATCTGACAGCCGGCGCCTCTCTCTCCCCTCACCGCTCGGCCTTAGTTCTGTGACAGCAGCTCCGCCCCCCCCACGGCTGAAGTGCTTCGTATCGGATCCCCCGCTGCCTCTGCCCGGGAGAGCAGGGGGGATCCATTGAAAGAAAAGCTGAGCACCCTTGTGCGTGGCGGAGCAGCAGAGGATCGGTACATATCAGTGATCTGTACCGGTCCTTTTCTTGCACAAGTGACTCTCCAATGGCAAAATAAACCAATGAAGACTAGGCAGAGAGTCTAACCCCTCCCTACTCTGCCCAAAACAAAAATTGAATGATATGGTTGTATTAACAATTTGAACAGCTCATGATTTTGAATCAACACCCTGCTTTTTAAAGATATCATATTGTCTTTTTAAAGCTGAATCCCAAGCCATTATAAAATACAAATTAATGCAGGTTTGTATTCATTAAACCCTGTTAAATGTAATTTATTTTATTTAAATGCAAGCAGTGTAAGTACCTGAATGTGACCTTATAGCGGCCTTCTTGCAGTTCCTGTACAGCAGAGCTCAGAGTAGGAGAGGAAAAAGCAGAACAAGAGGCCGCAGTGCTAGGAGCATGCTGATAGCAAAGTCATAGAGAGATGAGCTCTTCAATCTGCTGCTTCTCCATTTGGTTTGGTGGCACTGGCATGCTGTACTGATACATATGAAGTATCATTTTTCTGGTGGGTCTACTTTAACATGACAGTGCGCCTATCATTATAACTACCAAGTGAAGTCCCACATTATGAGTCTCCTTAATGATTACAATGTTTACAATGAGAAATATTTCATGCTGTGTACACAGGACCTAAAGATCATTAACAAAGATCTTACTGTTACAAAGATTGTGGAAATCTTAGCTGAGGACGACCCCCGTGTGCACGATGGTGATGAAATGAATCTAGAGCTAGAGGTAAGACTTTATTCTTCTTTGTACTTAGGTATTGGTAGATCTAAAGAAGATTGTACAGTCAGATTGTAACATGTATAATATGTCCGCTTATAACACAGGGCACATGCAATCAGGTCTTGTTTCAGATTCATTGTTGTGAGGATATGTCACCAGCACTCCAGATCGACAAACTAATCAATTTGAGTGAATCTCCATTTTGTTTTTTTTAAGAGGTCACTCAAAGTAGGGTCAAGCGCTTTCGGGGCCGCACATGGTCCCCTTCATCAGGCTTTAAGCCTGTGAGGCCCCGAAAGAGCTTGATCCTACTGTGAGTGACCTCTTAAAAAAAACAAAATGGAGATTCACTAAAATTGACACGTTTGTCATTCTGGAGTGCTGGTGACATATCCTCACAACAATTTCTGCCTAAATGCGGCGCCATCCGCAGTCATTGCGAGCACCCACTTCTGCCTATGGGAATTCCGGTAAGGTGTGCTACAGGAACTTGGACAGTTGTACTTGTTTCAGATTCAGTCTCATAGGTCGTCCCAATTTATAAACAGCTGTACAGTGCGAGGGTCTGCCTGATTTGACACAATATGAATAGTTGTGGTATCGCTCAGCGAAGTGCATTGATTTGACAGATCTGAAACAATATCTATCAACAACATATGTAAAGGGAGCATTAAGGAAAAATTTAAAATATGGAGGCTGCTGTTGCTGTCAGTCAGAAAATACCAGTTGCCTGACTCTCATGTTAATTCAGTGACTTCAGTGTGTTTTCAGTTACAAATCAGCAATTCTGACTTCACTCTGACTAAGGCTTACTATACACGCTACAATCTGATAGTACAGTACAATCATCTTTACTTTTACCAAAACTATGTAATATGGGAACCAACTAAATAATGTGTATCCGATCAGACAAGCTCTTACACTACATTAGGAACATTGGAAGATCTAAAGGAGATTGTAGAGATTGCAACGTGTGTGGTGAGCTTAAAGGAAAGCTCTGTTGAGAAAAATATGGAGGCTGCCATTGCTGTCAGCGCATCACACTGTTTATTTTTTTCCTTTTTCTTAACTTTATTTGGATTGTACAAAGTGTACACTGCAATCAGGTCTTGCTGCGCTGTGGTGACCTTCGATGCCATCCAATGCATTCTACATTTTTCTGCACTACACTGCATTGTGGTGTGAATAGGGCACAAAGAAAACAATGCTTTGCTATGTGCCTGAGCATTGACTGGCATTGATCAGTTGCTGAAAAACGCCAGCCACCACTTATGGTTTGAACAAGCAATGATGATAGGTTTCCTTTGAAGTTCAACATTTGTACAGATGCAGTTCTCTCCTGCAGGCTGTAGATGGCACTGTTGGCTTTACTATACAGTTGCTACACTTTCTACAGTTATTTATAAATCTGATTGAATTAATACTTAGGCTGGGTTCACACCTAGGCGGATTGAATATGCACGTTTTTCCGCGCGTTTCCGAGGGATACTTGGCTGTATCCCAATGGAACCGCCCGACCAAAACGCCCCAAAGAAGTACATGTACTTCTTTGGGCGTAGGGCGGTTTTCCCGCACGTTCGTACTCGCGGAAAACCGCCCAGATGGGAACCATGCACATTGAAAATAATGGCATTTCCCTGTTTGAGCGTTTTTCCGCGAATACGAAAGCGCGGAAAAACGCCTAGGTGGGAACCGGGCCTTACTGCAGAAAATAATAAAACAGCACAATGCTAACAGTGGAAATGATATTCAAAACAGTAAATAACATCAACGGCATTTATTTCTAACTGAATAGATTACAATGTCAAAAACATACTCGCTCCACGTCATGGATTTGTGAATACATATAATGAAATATTTTCTTAGCCAGTGAAATGTGTTTTTTTTCCTTGCCAGCTTACATTCCTGGAATTCTTTGAAGCGCTGTTTGGCTGTGCTGTCACCTACATCACAGATGAGCTATTGAGTCCGTCACTCAGTGAACTATCTCAAGGAGAAGAAAGTCAGATATCTGTTACAGATGAGATCCCAGGAGATATAACAGATCAGATACTAGATCATTTTTACCAAAACTATGTAATATGGGAACCAACTAAATAATGTGTATCCGATCAGACAAGCTCTTACACTACATTAGGAACATTGGAAGATCTAAAGGAGATTGTAGAGATTGCAACGTGTGTGGTGAGCTTAAAGGAAAGCTCTGTTGAGAAAAATATGGAGGCTGCCATTGCTGTCAGCGCATCACACTGTTTATTTTTTTCCTTTTTCTTAACTTTATTTGGATTGTACAAAGTGTACACTGCAATCAGGTCTTGCTGCGCTGTGGTGACCTTCGATGCCATCCAATGCATTCTACATTTTTCTGCACTACACTGCATTGTGGTGTGAATAGGGCACAAAGAAAACAATGCTTTGCTATGTGCCTGAGCATTGACTGGCATTGATCAGTTGCTGAAAAACGCCAGCCACCACTTATGGTTTGAACAAGCAATGATGATAGGTTTCCTTTGAAGTTCAACATTTGTACAGATGCAGTTCTCTCCTGCAGGCTGTAGATGGCACTGTTGGCTTTACTATACAGTTGCTACACTTTCTACAGTTATTTATAAATCTGATTGAATTAATACTTAGGCTGGGTTCACACCTAGGCGGATTGAATATGCACGTTTTTCCGCGCGTTTCCGAGGGATACTTGGCTGTATCCCAATGGAACCGCCCGACCAAAACGCCCCAAAGAAGTACATGTACTTCTTTGGGCGTAGGGCGGTTTTCCCGCACGTTCGTACTCGCGGAAAACCGCCCAGATGGGAACCATGCACATTGAAAATAATGGCATTTCCCTGTTTGAGCGTTTTTCCGCGAATACGAAAGCGCGGAAAAACGCCTAGGTGGGAACCGGGCCTTACTGCAGAAAATAATAAAACAGCACAATGCTAACAGTGGAAATGATATTCAAAACAGTAAATAACATCAACGGCATTTATTTCTAACTGAATAGATTACAATGTCAAAAACATACTCGCTCCACGTCATGGATTTGTGAATACATATAATGAAATATTTTCTTAGCCAGTGAAATGTGTTTTTTTTCCTTGCCAGCTTACATTCCTGGAATTCTTTGAAGCGCTGTTTGGCTGTGCTGTCACCTACATCACAGATGAGCTATTGAGTCCGTCACTCAGTGAACTATCTCAAGGAGAAGAAAGTCAGATATCTGTTACAGATGAGATCCCAGGAGATATAACAGATCAGATACTAGATCATCCACAGCTGGTTAGTATGAAATGTAAATATTTTGTTCTGTTAATGTCTCTCGCGACACATACAGTGCCTGGCCCCCCCCCTCCAAAAAGTCCCACACTCTAATATTTAGTTGGACCGCCTTTGGCTTTGATTACGGCACACATTCGCTGTGGCATCGTTTCAGTAAGCTTATGCAATGTCACAACATTTATTTCTGAGTTGCATTAATATTTCGCCAAGATCTTGTAGTGATGAGATTTGGACCACTGAGTAAAGTCTTCTCCAGCACATCCCAAAGATTCTCAAAGGGACTAGCATCTGGATTTTGGTGGCCAATCCATGTGTGAAAATGATGTCTCATGCTCCCTGAACCAATCTCTCACAATTTGAGTCCAATGAATCCTGGCATTGTCATCTTGGAATATGCCCGTGCCATTAGGGAAGAAAAAACCTATTGATGGAATCCTGGTCATTCAGTATATTCAGGTGGGCAGCTGACCTAATTTTTTGGGCACATAGTGTTGCTGAACCTAGACCTGACCAATTGAAGCAACCCCAGATCATAACGCCACTCCATTGGAAGGGTCTTACCCATTTGCTTAGCTAAATCCGGGTGATTACTTTTTTTTGGGCCAGGCAGTGTATAACATCAATAAATAAAAAGGAAGTAGTAGAGCCACTTATGGGTCTTGAGCAGAAGTGTATGTGCAAACAGGAGGAGTTTATGTTGTCCAATGTTGTTGTCCAAGGCCATGACAAAGATGGACTTCAAATGTCCATCTTTGTTTATGTTATGTATGAGGACAGCCATGTTTGATCATTACATATGCAGGCCCTTTTTCCTATTTAAGCTGGGCATACACGGTTATATTTTCTTCGTTCAACCTGTGGGCTGAATGAAGAAAATATAACAGATTCTCCCATGCACGCTTATGAGCGTGGATGGAGGAATGCCCTGCTGTTTTGCATTCAGTACTGCCAGCGGCCACTGTCAGGATGCCTGAACGGAGCTTGCAGCTGATTGGCTGTAAGTTCTGTTTGTCCAAAGATTTTTCAACCTGCTCCTTTGATCAGCTAATCGAGGGATGCCGGGCGGAAGGGTGCAGAACACTGTTCAGGTTTTGGCCAGTTCATTAAGAACCGGACGAAATTTGCTCAGCCTACTACCTTATTATACTACACACTAGTTGCACCTTTCTGTTTATGTCTCTCAGTCCATGTCTTTCTCAATGTTCTCTGTTTGTGTCTGGTATGCTGAGATGCTGAGATGCTGAGTACCTACTGAAAATATACTGTCATTTCCAAACTGGCCCCATGTATGAGTGGGGCATTAGAATATAAGCTCCTTTATGGGGCTGACTTCTTCCGGGTTCTTTTCATTTTCAATGATTTCTAAAATTTTCAAAATGTTTGTGATCAGGATACATGTGACTCTTCATTCCATTTGGTCTGCTATCGTTGTATTTACAAGTATCCTATACTATCCAATAGGGATGCACCAATACCGTTTTTTCGGTATCGAGTACGAGTACCGATATTATTTTTTCGGTACTCGCCGATACAGATACCGGAAGTCCCATTAAGGAAGCCAGGCGCCGCGTAATTGCTTGCCACCCGGCTTCCCGATTAGCAGGAAAGCCGTCTCCATGCTTTTCGTCACTACATGACGAGAAAGCATGGAGCTGGCTTTCTGGCCAATCAGGACCTGGGCTCCGTGTAATAACACGGCACCCGACTTCCTGATTGGACAGGAAGATGGCTCCATGCTCCCTCGTCACAAGGTGATGAGGGAGCATGAAGCTGGCTTCCCGGCCAATCAGAGAGCCGGGCGTCACGTCATTACACGGCACCCGGCTTCCTGATTGGCCAGCTTCCCGACCAATCAGGAAACCGGGCAGCGAGTCATTACACGAGGGAGCATGGAGCCGCCTTCCCGGCCAATCAGGAAGGTGGGCAGCGTGTAATGACTCGCTGCCCGGCTTCCTGAAACTGGAAGTTTGGGTATCAGGCTAGGCATCGGAGCATTTGGGCGAGTACGAGTACTCGCCCGAATACTCGGTATCGGCATCGATACCGATACTAGTATCTGTGCATCCCTACTATCCAATCTTCAGGATTCTTTTTATAGAGAGGCATAATATGTAAGCACTATGAAAATACTGGAAACATTAATAATGATAAAAATAATAATGACAAACTCAAAGTAATAATATAAGAAAGGAAGAAATTGGTAGACTGGTGCTTGAAAATGTCTCCAGTGTCAACCATAATTATCTGCAATGTGCTCCGTACCAATATATAAGAAGTTCACATTCCTGGCAAGATAATGGCAGCATCAGACAGACGTATAGAAAAGGTACTATAGAACCATAATACAAACACTGACAAACATTTAGGGGTTCATTTATAAAAGTTGCGCCCGATGCCCTTCGCACAGCTCTAGTACCCCTAGATGGCGCTGATGAGTATAGGAATTTCCACCAGGCGGAACTTTTATAAATGATCCCCTTATTATTGTATTTCTACTACTAGTGTAAATGAGCACTATTGTGTTGTGTCTTTATAATTTGCTATAGAAAGTTTGCTATGTTTTCACAAGGATTTATATTACAATCTTCTTAATTCTCCTTTATGTTTAAATGACAGAATAAGACTGATTTCAAGATGCTAGAGCAGGATCTGATCAGTGCCTTGAAACCAACTGAAAAACTTAGCCCACCTCCTCCTTTCCAGTCCAAAAGTGAGTACTGGCATTTGTAAACATAAAGAAACAGTGAGATCCTGTTTTACAATGAAAAATTATTTGATTGTGTGAATAAGGATAGTGAAAACAAAACTAGCGTATTTGGCTCTTTACTGCAACTTTTCATTTCAAATCATTTTTGATGTTTCATTGAAATTTGTTCTTGCTTGCTGTTCCAGTTTATTGTAAAGATTTGTAGAGTTTCTCTGTAGTGGCTGTGTGTAGATCAGGCAGGCTAGACAGCAGGGGCGGAACTACTGCCGGTGCGGCTGCACTGGGGCCTGAGCCTGGGGGGGTCCCAGCAGACCCAGGCAAGGTAGGACAAGCGATGGTGGGGGGGTAGGCCGCCGACTGACTGTCAGTCCGGCCGCACGTTTAAACGCCTGCACGACAGTGAGGCAGAGCAGCCTGCAAGCACACGTTGAGGCAGCGCTGGGGCCGTGGCCGGGAGAACCCAGCAGCTTTCTGATTACACAGCCTGCTGCCTCTCCCAGCTACCCACACCCACGGTGTTCCTGCCACGGAGGAAGAGGTGAGGTGATGCTGTTATCTTCTGTATGTGTATGTAAGTTCTGTGACATGTTTTGTAGTCCTCTATAACTGATGGAATTATTCCGCGTTTCTGTAGAGAGTATTGCTGGGAGTTGTAGTCCCCTATAGCCGTTACCATTCTAGATTTCTGTAGAGAGCAATGCTAGAAGTTGTAGTCCCCTACAGCCGTTACTTTTCTGCATTTCTGTAGAGAGTATTGCTGGAAGTTGTAGTCCCCTATAGCATTACCATTATGCATTTCTTTAGAGAGTATTGCTGGGAGTTGTAGTTCCAGTTGCTGTGGAACTAAAAGTCCCATGAGGCATTGCAAGGCAGGCAACCACAGTAATGGCTCCCAGAGGCATGATTTGTAATTTCACCACAGCTGGAGTACCGAGGTTGCCTACCCCTGATATATAGTGTTCACTTAGTGAGGAGACTAATAGATTTGCATTGAGAGAAGAGAACGGTATTGTACAATTGGTGCGTAACGCTATAAGCAGGAAACCAAGTCTGCATATATGATAAGCTAATATGGCCGCTCCTTGTACAACTAAACAAATCAAAAATTGTTACCACAAACTGATAAGATAACTTATAGCAGGCTGATCATATGAAGATAATTGTATAAAAAGTTTAAAAACACAATAGATTTCCTTTAAAGTATACCTGCGGTTACCTTAAGAGCGTAGTCCACCTTTTGGGAAAAAAATAATACATGCGCACTCAATAAGGTAGGAAAAAAAAATGTATTTATTAATATTTTGCATTGGAGCATGAAAAGCATTGCAAGCGTGGTCAGTGGATCAAGAGTACAATACTCAGGCTCCTGCTAATGATTCCTACATCCCCTGTCCGTACCGATGTACAGACCTTTTGTTATGGGGCTGGAGGAAGTAAACAATGGACTACAGGTTCAGTCTCTGCACTTGTGCTGCACTGAGAATTATAAGTCACACTGCCGCGATGCCAGATGGAACTTTTACTCTTTCCATTCACAGATCCCTGGGATCTGCCCGCACAGCCGTGCTAAATAAAATAAAAAAGAAGAGGAGCCTTCAGGGAGAAGAACCCCACGATTCAGAAAAGTGGGGGCTGTTTAAAGGGTGGGAGGGTTGAGGAATGAATGCATATTGGTATCAGTGCCAATACAGAGTTTTTGGGCAAGTACTCGTAGTCGCCCAAATGCTCCCGATACCTAGCCTGATAACTTCCGGTATCAGAAAGCCAGGTATTGAATCTTTACACGCTGCTAGGCTTCCTGATTGGCCAGAAAGCTGGCTCCGTGCTCCCTTGTCACCAGAAAGCATGGAACTGGCTTCCCGGCCAATCAGGAAGCCAAGAGTCAGGTAATGACTTGCCCCGCCACTTCCTGATTGCCAGGAAAGCCAGCTTAATGCTCCCTCATCACTTGGGGACGAGGGGGCATGGAGCTGGCTTGTTGGCCAATCAGGAATCCGGGCAGCGTGTAATGACTCGCGTGCAATGACTTCATGATTGGTCGGGAAGTCATTACATGCCACCTGGCTTCCTGGCTAATTAGGAAGCCGGGGAGCGTGTCATTACACGCTGCCTGGGTTCCTTAATGGGGCAGCAGGTATCGGTATTCAGTACCAGTGAGTACCGAAAAAAAAAAATATCACTGCATCCCTAACCATAGTAACCTGCCACTTGAACGTAAAGTATATGTAAAGTCAACATTTTTTTCATTTGGGTAGAACAGAGAATGGCTAAATCCCCTTTTGTGCTTTTTTTTCACCATGGTGTCCCATCCTGTCCTGTAAGACACACTGGGAAGAAGGACTCTCCAAAGTGAGGGAAATCCCTTTTTTAGACTGTTGTGACCATAACAAGTGTCTCCCCATTGGAAGATTTTTCCCTCTATTTCTGTCCTGGTTACAACTCAAAATCTTGGACTCTTTCATCAAATGAAGTCTTGGTGAGAGTGGTTACAAGGACATAGAGAAAGTAGTTCTTACCTACTTTAGTGAAAACTAAAAAAAAGGTTTTGGGGCTTAGATCCACTTTAAAGTAAGTACCAAACAGTTGAGCTCTGGCCTAACACCTCACTGTTGGTACGCAAGGCTTTTATCATATTAATGACCAATAGTGAGGTGCAGGAAGAGGGAGGGGTGCAAAGCAGAACACAAATTTCTGAGCTGAGGTCAGTATTTGCTGCGTGTCAAGACTCCTATGTGTTCTGTTATGAGGTCCAAGTGCCATTTTACAGTCTTTTGTGTAACTATGGGAACACTATAATGTAATTAAAGTAATATGAGTAATAATAGAAATCTGCACTCTTGGAAAAAACGAAAAAATATTTAACCACAAAGCTGCTATAAAAAAAAGTGAACCTTAAAAAACTAAACAGTGCTGTGTCATTCACTTTAGTTAATTAAAGTAATATGCCATAATAAGTCTTCTACCTGCAACACTTAACCCATTGCCCCGATCCATCACAGCAGCCCCAGTTAAAACAAAACGGGTCTTTCTGTTTATAGGGAACTATCGTCAGTGGCCAATCATCAGACCTATACACTGTCATGTGGGGTGGGGGCATACCTAGATCTATGCAATTTATATAATCAGCTATCTAACTTTGAGAAAGTTGGTATTTGTATAGCACTGAGGGCTCAAGTGGCAGATCAAAGGGTAGAACTTTATCATACCGACTGTACAGCCAACTTTTATTGCTTAATGCTCGGTAAAGGTTTTGCTTCAAAGATCTGAACTGTATATGACGCATCCTCATTCTAAACACAAGATGGCAGTATAATTCCACAAATAAATGTATAGCCGGAGTAGTCATTTTACCAGGGAAGAAACATCTAATAATAAATGTACCAGATTATAGATTGCTTGAAATTTAGTAGACAGACCTTTTGCTGTTATGCATTATTTTGTCAATAGTTAAAAGCAAAGCCCTCCTCATCATCATCATCTCTAAACACTTCCTCTGGTCACTGACATGTAAAGAGCAGCGACACATGCTTATCACATGAACGGCAAAGACATCTTTAAAATGGAACTGAACTCAAAAAGTGAATATTTGCAATGTTTTAGAGAAAATGTAAGAATGCTATTTGTGTATCAGCATTACCTTAAAATGTTCAGAATTACCCCTGACAAATAGCAGTGTACCTCCTTCTATGTGAAGATGCCTCGTAGGGATGCACTGATACCGTTTTTTCAGTATCGAGTACAAGTACCGATATTTTTTTTTTTGATACCTGCCAATACCGAAAACCGATATCGGTAGTCCCATTAAGGAAACCTGGAAGGCTAATCAGGAAGCCAGGCGCCACCCGGCTTCCTGATTGGCTGGGAAGCCATCTCCATCCTCCCTCATCACCAAGTGACGAGGAAGCATGGAGCCAGCTTTCTGGCCAATCAGGAAGGCGGGGAGGGGGCGGGTAATGACTCGCCGACCGGCTTTCTGATTGGCCAGCTTCCCGACCAATCAGGAAGACGGGCGGCGTGAAAACATGTGGCATAGGGAGCTTTGTTGGACCAAGTGGTCCATAAATCTCATGGACCAATGCAGCTTATCAAGTGCATGCGCCAGTCCAGACATCTAATGGCTGCTGCGCATGCGTGGTAGTTTGTAAGAGTTCTGGACTTGGAACCGCTGATAAGCTGCATTGGTCCGTGAGATTTATGGACCTAGTGCCGCAGTGCACTTGCGCGCATGGCCGAGCCCCGCACACGCCCCCGCACACATCACCGGAAGTCCAGGAAAGTCACGGGTCCGATGGAATTATAGAACATGGGCTCCATGCTTTCTCGTCACCAGGAAGCATGGAGCTGGTTTTCTGGCCAATCAGGTAGCCAGGTGGCGTGCAATGACTTGCCGTCCGGCTTTCTGATACTGGAAGTTCGGGTATCAGGATAAGCATCGGGAGCATTTGGGCGAGTACGGTTACTCACTCAAATACTCGGTATCGGCACCGATACTAATGCCTAGGGCTCATAGCTGTATATCTGCAGTGTGAATTTAAGGCACTGCTGCCTCTGACCTCTCGTGTCAGGAGATTTGGTAATGTCACCACTGTGCTGCTCACTTTTCTCCTTCCTGGAGACTCTGACATGAGGAAGCAATGGCCTGCTTCTACCAAGGTGGCTGCCTCTACACAGACACACATTGGAGAACAAGGCAAGATAAGTCAGTAATAGGGAAAGTCCTTGGCTTCCTGCCAGCCCCTTGTTTGGGCACAGCTTTTAGGGTTCAGTTCCTTTTTAATGTGTAAGTTGTGATTCACAAACCAGTTTCACCTTCTCTTTGCTGTGTTATGGACAAGATGATGATGTCTAATGGGGGAAGAACTGGTTCTCAAGGGGGGAATGACTTTAGCAGAGTTTGTGTCCCCTTAGGTAAGTTGTTTATACTTTACAAAAGTTTATATGTTTCAGTGGTTTTACTAAACATTGGAAAGGAAAGGTTGCATCAAAGAAGAACTTCAGGAATATATTTTCAAATGTGCTGGCTAACACATAATTAAGTGTAGTGAGGTTTATATCACCTCAAGGATTGCTGCCTGTACTATTTTCACTTTTATTCATGCTGGGAAGTATTGCTTTCGCTATACTTCCAACGCTGCAACAGGAGAACTGCGACTCTTCTACACACAAAGAACGTTGCGCTAAGTCACCTGCACACCATACAGCGTGTGGACCTCTTTTTACTTATGTTGTGCTTGCAGTGATATCACGGATGGCGCCTTGTTTTGCAAGATCACCAGCACTCCACAGGATAAAAGCATGAACTATTGTGAGTCACTGGGGTTGATTTACTAACCTTATAAACACACCACGAACATGTATACACCTCTGTAGTGTGTTCCCTCCCAGCATGATCTATGGGTAGAATCTAAACACCTTTGTAGTGTGTACACACCCAGCAGGTGTGTTGTGCAAAGCCCTGCATGAATTGCAAGGTGATGTTGTGTAAATTAGCTCTACATTGTGTTGCTTGCGTTGATGAATGTAGGAATGTAAATGCATGAGCTAACCATTTTTGTCTAAACTGTGAAGCAGCATTATATATGCATCATGTGCATGATTTTTCCATATATGGCATTAGTGGAAATATGCTTTTAGAGACTTTTTGGTTGATAAATACGTTTTGCTGTGTGTAAATCACACGCACCTGGTGCGTGCGTGTGTTTAGGTTAGTAAATCACCCCCACTATGTCACTCTGAGGAAGGGACCCTGCATGGCCCTGAAACATTGGCTTTACGATGCATGTGATATGACATAACTTCAATAAATGCAACAAGAGTTCACGCATTTATACTGTTGAGTGCTGGTGATCTTGCTTAGTGATCTACACACAAGCCGTACGGTCCTTTATCCTCTCCTCTTGTACATTCACAGAATACTTTGTGTTCCGAGAACTCTTTTTTTAAAACACTTTTCGCTGCAGCAGGTATGAAGTTCAGGTACCTAGAGGTAGTTGTAAATACCTGCAATAGCCTTCCAGTTCTCCCTGTAACAGCTCAACAGTGAGCTCCTCTGACAGGCAAAGCTCCGACACTCATAGGTAGTAGCTGAGCTAGCCACTAAGCTCTGACCCCACATATTCCTATTTGCTCATTACTATGACGGGCAGCCTCACTAGACAATGGAAATGTGCAGAATTCAGAATGGAACTGGCAATCTTTGTCAACATATGTAAATGTCAAAGTTTTGCCTATAAGAATAGCCTGAGATACACCTGTGATCGGTTCGGGCGGCTGCTTCATGTATGCGCACCTTTAGGTACCTGTAGCAGTTTGCTACCATTCCCCTCCCTGACAGGGCCTCTTAAAGGCATTGATATCTCTGATTAAATACAAGGTGAAAGGTCACCATTTGCATTACACTGACATATATAGAATTAACCATTCTGTAACATTCATTATTTCTGTAGAAAAACTGCAGAAGAAAGTTGTAACAGATAAGTGGTTCCATCAGATCAACATATTTTTCCTGAAAGTATTCTTCCCGGCCTATGAACATGTAGAACAACTGAAGGCTGAGATTCCAAAAAACAAAAGGAGACAAGCAGAACAGGCACGACTGCAGCAGATCAGAGAAGAAGAAGAAGCAAGGTAACACCATGAATCTGAAGGGATGATTTGGATGCCAACATTCCCTGATTCCATGAATATCCCCGATTCCTTGAATTTCCCTGATTCCATAAATGTCCCTGATTAACATAAAAGCTAAGAGATATTCTTATGCTGAATGTCTTTTTTATTTAAGGCTTAAAGCACTGAAGGCAGAAGAGGAAGCCAAGAAGCTTGAGCAGATGGAGCTAGAAAGAGCTAGTGCTTTAATGGAAGATATGCAGGTATCCAAAGACCAGACAGATGACAGCAAAAGTGGGCAAGACACTTCCACACCTAAAGATGAGCCTTCCGTCCCTCCATCTACAGCAAGCACAAAAAAGACTGCAGGCAAAAAGAAGAAAAAATAAGATTTTTTTTAATGGAGATATTTGTATATGTTTAGGAAACTCATATAAACTGTATATGTTAATAATATCAATGACTAAAAGCATCATTGTGTGTGGTAAAATGATTGAAGAACAACATTAAGGGGGGAATTTATGAAAACTCGAGCAGCTGTGCATGGCAACCAATCAGCTTCTCTCTTCAGTTTGCTCAGTTAAGGTTTGAAAATGAAAGAGAGAAGCCGATTGGTTGCAGTGCACAACTGCTCCAGTTTTCATCTGCTCCAGTTTTGATAAATTCCCTTCTAGGTAAATTATGCATTTAGAGGAGCATTAGGTATCTTGAACCTTCATTATACCTTCATTCTAGTGAATGGTTCCACAGTGAGCCTACCCTCCTTCAAGAATTGCTGTTGCTTTCTAGGAGAAGGTGATTCTGGAAACTGTGAGGGGCAGTACCGGATCTCTTGACTTTAGCAGCTAATCAGGTTTAGGGTCTGAGTGGAAATGCTTTTGTCGCGGCTGAATTCCTTTTCTTTCCGTACAAGTCTGTGGTAATGCAACAGCATCTTGGAGCAGGTCAACTTCAAGTCAGGGGGAGGTCAACTGCAGGTTAAATGCACCCGTCAGTGAATTCTGAATGATCTCAGAAGCACCTCAAACTAATGTCAAAGGCAAGCTTGCCCACCAAACCCAAAGCCCATTGACAGAGACCTTTAATCTTTCCTTCACTGAAAAAAAGCAAAAAAGAATGCAATATGTTTTCATAGGTAACCACTAAACGTTTACTCACAAATAAAGGAAGGATAAAGATGACAGGCCTGGAGCATGTACTTTCAAAAATCATTTAGTATTGGCAGCTTTCATATTTCTATCCTGGCAGCTTACTTTGGATTGCTGGACATAAACCTGTCATCACATTGTAAACTGGCAGCACGCATGGAAGGCAAGCACCTTGAGGACACATGATTCCACACACACTCCCTTTAATTATGTTATGTTTCCTTTTGAAACCGTGGAATCAGGTAGGATCCAAAGTATCCAGTTATATTATATACATTTATATTACAGCTCCATATTTTTGGTGACCGTCTGAAATCTAACTAATGTCAGCCCTTCACAGTAGATACCCCAAAGTACCTCAATCCATACCTTTAGAGTTTTCCAGAACTTCCAGAACCTGGGAGGAAACATTTAGGTAGCCTTGCATTTTTCTCTAACTCTGAGCTCCGTCAGTCATTCCTAACATTCACCGATGAAAGAGTTCCTCAGCAGCCAATAGAGAAGTGTTCTATTGCATTTTGTGATGCCAGGAAGGGATAGACAGAGATTAAAGTAGGACAAAAGATGATACTTAGAAGTATGTGTCTGGTGATCCTAGGATTACACAGGCTGCTTTGCACCAATCCTAAAAAAAGCATATGCACCTTGTGATTACTGCTGTGCAGGGCTATGGTTAGATTAAGCTTTCACCTCGCACAGGCTTAATGTAATGGTACATCTTAGAATATTAGGTGATATCCTTTCATTTAAC